ATTCCTCTTGACCAGCTATCGATTGGCTTTACTGGAAGATTCATGCTGACGCTGTTTCCGAGGCAATCTCTTTCGATTCCAGTGAAAAGGTGCTAATATTTCGTCCGTCATATTGACTCATTAGCTTGAATTTTGTTGTGACGATGATGTCTTGCTCTGATGATGTTCGTCACATGACGGAAGAAAGCTTAGCACCTTTTTACCGGAATCGAAGAAGATAACCTCGGAAACAGCCAATCGACAGCTGGTCAAGAGGAATTCGCCGTCGTCTTCTGGTGGAACGGACCTTCGAATCTCCTCACTTAACACCTTTACTCGAAATGGAAGTAAGCTCAACGTTCTAATTCAGCTTAATTTAACTCCTGCAGTAACGGTTAGCAGTAAACAATAATCAACATTTTGTAAACTCTCCAAAGCAATGCTCAATGTTCGTGTACGCCAAAATATTTTTTATCTTACCTTTTAAGCCAGTAATTATTGTTTTTCGTGTCTTTCTGCTGAGTCATAATGACGTGCTCTTCTCTACAATTATTGTAAGTTTTCTCATTTTTCACGAATAAATCACTGGATTTTTTTCATTTTTCTTCTCCCACCTAGCTACAAAAGGCCGCCACTCGAGCTGGTGTCACATTGTCCACCTCGTCCATCCTTCCTTCGTGGATTACTGGGAGCGGCCGGCCTGCCTCTGCTGGGCCTGTGGGCGGAGACCTATTCTCAATGGGCGGGACCAGTGGAATGACTGGTTGTCATGGCACACCTGGTCCTGGCGTGAGCAGCGGCGTAGGTAGTCAGTTGTCACGAGAGCTGGACCGATTGCATCGGGAGCATGAGACAGTTCGTAGACAGCTGGATTCGGTGCAACGCGAACTTGAGACTTCCAGGACCGAGGCGGAGGCGGCGCGAGCTGAGGCTAAGCGTACACAGAATGACCTGGTCCAGGCCAGAGAGCGTCTTCGCGAAGTTCAGGAGCAATCGGAAGCCAGAGAGGAAGAAATGGTTAGTCGGTCGTAGACAGTAAATGTATGTGAAAAGCGGCTAAATAGAGAGTAATGAGGTTATTTAAGTGTCCCAAGGAGTATCGCTGGAAAAGAAAACGCAAATTGAAGGATGGCTCAACGGTGTATCTTTAAACAAAAATATCTCATCCCCTTTATAAACTTTGCTGGTAGTGGTGGTGGAACTCTATAAACAGTGTAGATTTTGTGAACCACAGGTCTTTTAAGTGTCACACATTGAAATGATAAATAATACCTGGGGACTAGTATTACTATCATTATTTATGTTGGTAGATATTTCTTGACTAATATATCCTATCCTGATTTAGCATCAATGCTTCTCTTAATGAGAGTGTGGGGCTAACACCAAGCATGATGAAATAGACCTTGCCCCTTCCTACTTTTGCTCAGGCTGCTTCTTGTACAGTACAGCCAATTTCATTCGCAATTGTGGGAAGATAAATTTGCCTTTCAATTGTACAAGCTTTAGCATGCTTTACTCTTTGCGTGCTAAATCAAAAGATTTGCGAAGTTCGAATCTTGACCCCACTTCAACTGCCTCATGAAAGGAAAATATCGAGTCGTCGAGGCCCAGAGATGCAAGGGTCCTTTATCCCTAAAGCCTCTGAATAATATTTACCATCATGACAGAATGTGGCCGACATCTTAATTAGTTGTCAGCACAAAGGTTTTGGACTGGCCGGAAATGATGTAAGGGGATGGACAAGTCGTTCTCAACAAGGGGAAAATTATCAGAATTCCCCATTGGTAAATGGACTTGGCTGGTCATTCGCAATGGCTGGTAATTTGAAATCTTAGAAAAGCAAAAACAACATATTCGGTCAGGCTGTTCATAAAAACTTACCGAATTAACTACAAATTAATATTTCTCCTTTTCCTTATTTTTTTCTTAATCATAACAATGACCCATCACCGCACATTAATAGCCGATACCTTATTCCTTAAGATATGCTCCACTCTATCATTTACAGTAGCCTAAGTTTAAGAGCGATGATGATCAGAAATCCTTCAAGTTTATAGGAGTCATTAGGCGCAAGGAGTAATGTGGGTTACTGGATCGTAAAGCTTACTTGTACAAGAAGGTTAAGGGTGAGAAAAGAGTAGAGGAAGTCGTAAGTATGCCGAAAGGCTGAGTTTTAAGGGGTCGTCCCCTACTGAGGCATAGCCAGGATTAGCCGAACTTAGGCATACTTAATAGCTCTGGTGAATTCAATCAAATAAAAGGTGAAAGCTCAACGTGTCTTCGTCAGCTGGTGGGCCAAAGGTTGCCCTGCTAAAAGCTAAGAGCAAGCCTTTCGCATATTTATTCACTCTAAGCACTCATTACTCACTCTCTGGCGAGGTTTTGATCACACCCTCGTATCAAATGAAGCCACTACAACTAGCCAACAGAGAGACTGTGTAAGCTCTAGTGTAAGACAAATAAAGTGTAGTCTATTTTTCGTATGTAAGTAGAGTTTCGAAACTACCATTAAATCAGTAATATGAGATGTACTCACCCTATTTCGTTTAAGCTGCTGAAGGACTGGCAATAGAATTTTATTACAATGATATGAGTAGAGCTGACGTTTCCATTCGATTTTGCATAGCCTTGCTTTCCCAAAAGTTATCCTTATCCAGGGAAAGCAAGGCTATGCAAAATTGAATGGAAGCGTCAGTTCTACTCATATCACTGTGGGAAAATTCCACTACC